GCTCGCTCGCTCTTGCTCTTTTTGCCTTTTTTTAGTGTTAACCTCAAGGTTATTTTGTAAAGGCGTCGAAGCACCGTTTTTTTTTCTCTCTCTCTTAGAAATACTCATTAGGATGAATAATTAAAAAGGGAAAGTTTTAAGGAAGGGGCGAGAAAAAATGAAAAAAATTAAAAATAAATGAATAAATAAGTAAATAAATAAATAGAAAATGGAAAATAATTCAGAAAGCAATATATCGTTGTGATAATGTCGATCTCAAACATATCGCGACGTAAATTTTTTTTTTGTTTTAATAATTTTTTCTTTATTTTGTCATTGAAAGAAAATGAATAGAGTGACATCACAGCTTCCAACTTTCCACGACGTTACTTTTTACATAGATATATAATTTACACACACGTGCCATTTAAAGATGAAAGTATGTGAAAAGTAAAAGAAGAGGGAAAAAGAGGGAGAAAGAGAGAGAGAGAGAGAGAGAGAGAGTGTGAGTAGAGATGGGTGAGAGAAGGGAAGAGTTTCTTTACACTTTGCTCAAGGAGTCGAAAAGTAATTATCGCGAGATTCTCCTTTCGATTTCTCGAAGGAATGAAGCTAATGAAATCTTATGATCAAAAGCCACCAGTTAGCTCCGCCTATCTCACAGCGCCAAAACTTTCGTAAAGTTCAAGAGATTTATGACCGATCTTACTTGGTAAATGGGTGCAACATTACCCTATGGATTTTACATAATTAAAGAGCCTCAACTCTTTGCAATTAAAATAATAGTAATTATAATAATTTTATAAAATATACATCACAAGATTTCTTTGTGTCCCTTAAGAACCGCCTATTTAACAAAAAAGAAAACAAAATTAATAATTATGATGATGATGATCATAATTTTATATATATATGACAATGATGATGATGATGATGATGATTTATAAACACAATTATACTATATAAATAATACATCAAGTAATAGAAAAAAAAAATTATAAGTTATTCTATTACGACACGCTATAAATACTACAGATATATATCGAATATATTATTTAAAAAAAAATATATATATAAATTATATAGATATAATAAAACGAATAGATAAAACCAATGAAATATGAAACAGACAAAACATCAGACTGACGATCCAAGATAAAATACAATGGGGGTTTACTTATATCATAGACATAGCAATCCCTATAGATAGAATCATAACAGATAGAAAATAAAAAGTAAATACACACACACACACACACACATATATACATATATATTGTCTAGCAGACAAAAATAGAAAAAAATTTAGAAAAACTACACGCGTTGTAATTTCGATCACCGTAATAACAAATAAATCATGTATAATATTTTAACATCTATTGATTCTAAAACATTAATTCTATTTTATTTTCTTCGATTTTGATTCTTTATAAAGAACAGAGTAAAAAAAATGATAACATTCGATCGGCGGCGCTATGCAACAAATAATATTTATTTCAATGTATATATATATATATATGTATATATACGAATACACGTGGACCAATTGAGGATGTTGAGGAAAGACTAATTCTGATTGTATCGATAGAAGTAAATGTGTATATGTATTAATTTCGAAATTCATTTTCTTCTGCCACTTATCTCTATACCAGACAAGTTTCTCCAAGTATTAGACAAAAACAAAAAAAAAAAAAGAAATAGAAAAGAAAGAGAGAGAGAGAGAAAGAGTGAATATAGGCCGTAGAGAAAGTAGAAAATGGTATCTACGTATTCACCCTATCTTTATCCCCCTTTTCGAACGACCCTTGCCTTTATAAAGGCAAGTTCGTATAAAACTCTCGAGGGACTTCCTGGGTCCAGTATTCCCGAGGGATGATGTAGTTCGGTACGAAACTGCTGATAGCATCCTGGGAAAAAGCAGAGTTGCCCCTTCACGAATCTACTACGTAACATTTCTTTCGTTCTTTCTTTCTTTCTTTCTTCTTTCATTTTTCTCTTCCACCCATTTTTTCATCGCCTTTTGCTACTTCTAATTTTTTTCTATTTCACTTTTCTATTTCATTATCTTTTACAATTTCTTTATCGATTATATTATTTTTTTTATCGGTTACTTATTCTTCCTAAGTTACTTTAAGTTACTTATTTTATTGTATCATATTTACCAATACATATTATAATAATTATTATTATTATTACTATTGTCATTATCTAATAATATTAATTTATATTAGGATTAATTTATATACATATATATATAATATTAATATAATTAATAATTATTATTATTCAAAATCGTTATAATTCTCACGATGTTTCTTATATTCGATTTAATTGCATCTAAAGTTACGATATAATAATAACAACAATAACATTATTACTATTATTTTATTATCATTATCATTATCATCATTATATCATCATCATTATTATTATTAATAATATTGATCGTTGTAATTCTCTTATCGACGGTTTTTTTACATTCCAGTAATATTTTTAGATAGTAAAATGAAATGGCAAATAAAAAAAAAAAAAGTGTCTCGTACCATATCCTACCTCTTTCTCTCTCTCTCTCTCTCTCTCTCTCTCTCTCTCTCTCTCTCTCTTTTTCTGTCTAGATATAGTAGCTCCCATCATTCTTCTCTACAATTCCCGTTCACCATTTTCAACCTTTTTGTTCTCCTTCCTTCCTTCCTTCCTTCCTTCCGTTCAGCGAGGATGCCAACTTTCAATATTGGCTTTGCCACGGGAAACTTTTGGCACGGTCGGGGGACAAGTGTCAGCTCGAACGGATACGAACCAAACCGGATACTTAAGCGCGATTGAGTATCCGCTGACTATAGACCGCTGACTGTAAAAAGACGTCTTCTACGAACCACCCCTTTAAGATTGATTCCGATTTAAACGATTTCGCACCGGTAAAAGTTTGTTTTTAAAGCTGACATTTTAGTTTGTTTCTTTTATTTTATTTTATTTTATTCCCTTTTTTTTCTTTTTTCTTTTTTATAATTGTTATCTCTCTCTCTCTCTTACTAAAACTTTCTTATAACTTCCATCAATCGCGAGAATATTAATTCTTTTTTCTTCGAACGTCTATTAACGTGTACATCCAGTATATCCACGTAGATGATAATACATATATATATATATATGTGTGTGTAACTACTACATTGTTCACGCTTTTATTGCTCCATGAGTTACATTTCGGTAGAACGTCCATCGTTCTTATCGCTTTTAACGTTCACCCGAGATACATTATACCGAAAATATATTTCGTTTAACGGGAGCCAAAAATCGAGAACGACCGATGCAATTTCAAGTATTTATTATTATACCTATATATATTTATATACACATATACACACACATTTATATAGATTTATACAATATATAAAATATATATGCAATTTATGTGTATACTCATACATATATACATATATATATATATATCCACGTGTGAGTAGATTAAATCGCAGACTACTAATAATCGTACACATATATATATATATATGTTCACATTATTTTTTTTTTCTTCTTTCTTTTTTCTTTTTCTTATTTCTTTTTATGGTACCCATCATTACCAACGATTTTCTCGCGTTCGTCTTTATTTAACAATATCATCAGTATCTTTTGACCACACTTTTATCTCCATCACAAGAGAATTCTTTACCCTTCTCCTCCCACCCATCTCCCTTCTTCACCCATCACCATGTTCACCATTATCAAGTTCTTATCGTTGGTTGAGCTTCGAGAAGTGAGCACTGAAAGGAAGATTGCTGATCGTCCGATAAAGGCACACGAATTTGGCTTTGGTTTCTTTTTCTCTCTCTCTCTCTGTTTTTTATTTTATTTTTTTTTTCGATATCCATTTACCCAACCCATTAATTTTATCACACCATCCTTTGCCCCTCCCCCCACCCTTCGTCCCTTCCATCTACCACGGTCCTCATATCTTCGTATTTGAGAACTGTTCGTTCGAAATTCAATCCTGTTTAATCGCGAATCAAACAACGACGATGATAATGATATGATAACGTCCAATTTGTAGAAGAAAAATAATCGAGAGATTAGGGCTGAAAGAATTTCATATTTGATAAGGTTCAATCGATAAAGCGGCTCTATTTTTTTTTTTTTTTTTTTTTTTTTTTTTTTTATAGAGAGATCAGTAGAGCAAATTTGGGGTTGAACAATAATAATTAATAACAATGATATTAATCGTAAGAGGGCCGACAGTAAACGAAAAAAAAAAGGAGAGTGATGTGATATCGATCAAAGGTGATAAACAATATTACAATGGCAATAAAAAATGGCAAACCGATGAAAGGAGGAACGAAATGGAGCGAAGATGTGAGGGAAGAAATAATTTTGAACGATAAGAATAGCGCGAGAATAAAGTTCCATGCTCGATTTACTTGAGGTTCTTCAATTTCTCTTGGAAGCCGTATATATTATCCTAACCACGGAATCGACCACTCAAACCGCGTTCCGCGTTTCACGTTCCGCATTCCGCATTCCGCATTGGTTAACGGAGAAACCAAAGAACAACGAGAACAACTTGATTGGGTGATGACCTATACGAGATCGTTTCAAGTGTTACGATCGATGATTAAATTTCATCTGTTTATCGTCGTGACCCTGGGGATAGGTGGGTGGAAAGAGGAGAAAAGGAGAAGGGGTGAAAAGAGGATGAAAAGGGAGGAAATGGGTGTTGGGATCAGGGTGAACCATGGAATATTAGTCTCAGAGGTATAGCACGTTCTTTCCTTTCCCCATTTCCTCTCTACACCCCCTACCTACTCCCTCCCCCACCCACTCATAATGCGAATGAATCGTCGTCTCGTGAGAGTCACATTGAACACGCGTGCCGCGATCGTAAATTCACGAGTTAGTTTAATAAACAGCGTTTCCCAAACTACGTTTCGCTTAATACCACGGAGAGTCAATGTAATAAGGGTGGTTTGCGTAGAAAAAGAATTATGATAAATTAATATCCCTTTAATCGTTCCTTTTCTTTTTTTTTCACCTCTTCTTCTTTTCTTTTTTCTTCTTTTATCGTTGTTGTTGTTGTTTTTCCTCTCTTGTATCATCTTCACGTATCTCTACGTAATTCTTAATTCGAGAATGAATGTCTCGTTTGGTTTTTCTTCAATCGTTTTATATTTTCATTATAAAAAAATAAGGATATAAAATTATATAAGAAGAAAAAGGAAAAGAAAATAATAGAAAAATAAAAGAAATCGCTCGATCGTTTCGTATTTAAAAGGAAATTATTAATCGATCGTCGTTTAAAAACAAAATGTAATATGCGTGGCTTTAAAGAAATGTAATGGAGTCGTGCCAAATTTGCGAATGAGTGGATAATAGAAGTAGAATTGGTAGGGATTACAAGGTAGGGGTGTGGCGGCGGTGGGGTGGGGATTGAGGGGGTATGTTAAATGGCAGAAAACGGAAAAAAGAACAACGCAAGAGAATAGACTTTTACGATTGTGGAAGAGTAGGGGAAAGGGGAGGAAATTTTGTTCGTGGCACTACTACAACTAGATCATTGGTCGCTCGACTAGGGAATTTCGAGCTGAGGGGTTGATGGTTATGGGTGAGAGAGCGGTAGGATGGGTGCTATGACGTGGCTCAAACGAGCTTAGCTTTGTACGAATCCCTGAAATGAGATGAGAGAAGAGTATTGGAGAGGAGCGGGGAAGAGAGGAGAGGAGGGAACCCCAAGCGTACTCGTTTTAATAATGTTCCTCATTGGCCGTTCCTAACACTGTGTGTAATGTTAACCTCCAAGCGGACGAAGCAGACCGATTAGTTCCTGATATTATGCGGTTGTCCTGTTGTAAGGATATCTGGAAATAAAAAGAGAAAAGAAAATAAGTTAATGAAATATATTTCATTTGTTTTTTTTTTTTCTATTATGTTAAGTAAGAATCGTAAATGTTCGTAAGAAATATTTATGAATATTAGAAATTGTATCTTAGGTAATCATATCGTTGATTTTATGACGGTTGGATCTTAGAAAGTTCTTGGAAGATATTAAATATGGTGGTTGCTCCCATGAAATAGATTTCTCAATACTTAGTTGATTTTATATTAAGATACAGAGATAAATATATAAAATGTGATTTTATTATATACATGATATATATATATATATTGTACGTAATTTTAACTTTAAATATACAATTTAATGAAATATAATATAATATATATTATTATTGTATAACATATATTATAAATAATATTATATAATAATTATAATTATTATATATAATTTTATATACTATATAAGATATATAATATAATATTCTCCTCTCTTTCTTGCGAAACGAGTTATGGCTTACGAGAAACAGCTTGGTCTCGAAACTGCGAGCTTTGAGCGATCTTTCAAGCGTGACCTGTCGCTCAAGTTAAGTTCAGCTCGAATAAACCGGCGAATTACAAGGTCTTAGGGCGATGAAAGCGTTTAATTCAACGCCGAGAAGACCAGCCGAACGTGCAGATGGTTGGGATGGTTCTTTACCGCTTGTTCCTAAGCTTTACCACCCTTTGAACAACCCTCTCTCTCACTTTCTTTTTCTTTCTCTTTCTTTCTCTCTCTTTTATTCTCTTACCCTGTCATTGACGTTAAAAGCCAAAATATATATCTAAACATAATTATTTTCTATTCAATTAACACGTCCATCTAATAATTAATCTAATATATATATATATATATATATATATATATATATATATATATAAAAATACATAAAAATAAGAAAAATCAAATTAGACGTGCGAATGCATTCTTATGGAGGTTTACGGGATTAATTCGTACCTTAACGAGTATTAATTATCCGAGAAATGATCTAACTCAACTTGTTAAATTTCAAATAACACACGTAACTATGTATGCACATACGTATGTACATACATAGGTAACAAACGATTATATACGGTGGCGTAAAGCAACACTATCGAGATTTATTGGCGACACATGTTACGTGTCTGTCAGTTTTCATCCTCTAATCTAACCATCTATGTCGGTATTTATCCAACCATCTATCTATTTCTCACAGGCTAGATCGGTCTTTCACTTTCACTTTCAATGACAAATTAAATGAGATTAATCGTTTTGTCGACGTAAATTCGATTAAAGCTGGATGAAACGAGATAGAGATAGGTAGATATTTAGTTAGAGAGAGAGTGAGAAAGAAGTTGAGAGGAGGATTAGAGAAGTGGGAAAGGGTGATTCTGTTCATTACTATGTCCAATGGAGATCACGTAACGCTCAACTGAATGGAAAATTTTCGTCTGCAATATAACGACAAATTTTTGTTTAAAAATCCCGTAGAGATAATTCGAGTCACGAAACGAAATATCGCATTGTTTCGTGTGTGTATGTGTATGTGTGTGTCTACGTGTGAGTGTGTAATCAAGGCAAAAGAGGGAAAATCGTTTCCCTCTTTCTATGCCTGATTAATAATGGACCTACCATATACATAGGTATATATGTATATATATATATATATATATATATATATATATATATATGAATGTATTTATGTATCGACCGAATCACGATTGGAATTTGTTCGTTAAAATTATGTTTCGCGATTTCTCGTTTAATTATTTATCTTTTTTACCAACTCGTTAGGTTATCGTACCTTTTTGATAGTTATTATTAGATCTGATAATTAATATCGTTGCTTATGATTTTTTCTTCTTTTATTTCCGTACATAAAAGTGATGGTTGATCGGTAAATTAAAAAGAGGTCGATTGCGAGTGTCTATCCAGTGAGAAAATTTTCGTGATTTCTGAAAAATCGCAATAATTAAACTTACAATTTAATCGAAAGTCCAATGTTTTATTTCGTCGACTTAAAATATTTGACACATGATATCGTAATAATTTTTTTTTCTCTATTGGTTTCAACGAAGAAGATACTCAATTGGTTTTTTAATTTATAATCATCCTGTATAGTCTAATTTTTATTTTAATATATTAAATTTTATTATTAAGATAAGTTTAATTAAATACAAAATTTTATTATTTGATATATGTATATATTTTTTTCTTTTTTCTATTGATTTTAACAAAGGAGATATTCAACTGGTCCTGAATTTTCAATCATTCTATACGATTTATTTTTTATTTTGCTATTTTAAATTTGATTATCATTTTAAATTTAATAAAAATGTAAAGTTTTATTATTTAACGTATATATATATTTTTTTTTTATTAGTTTTGACAAAGGGGATATTCAACTGGTCATCGATTTACAATCACCCTGTACGGTTTATTTTTTATTTTGATATATATATATGTATATATATATCATGATAAGTGACGTTGCAAAAAGATTCTCTCTTCGACGGGAAGTGGCTTGTTATCGTGATCATTATAGTCCACCGTCATTATGTATATACATGGTATTATTACGTATCGTTCGAGGTAAATCGATTTTCTCGAATGGGCGTGGTCGCCGATCTCGTATAAAGCGATCACGAAGTTCGCGCTCAGCTCGTTCGCGATCGATAATCGATCAAAGAGTGCGATAGAGAGAGAGAGAGAGAAACACAACCCTAACGATTATTCCTCACTTTACGCTTTTCTCCATGTGTGTCACGGTTCCCATTTAAAAATTCGATCTGCTATACAGCCCTCACGTTTTCGAAATGTTTTTTTGATCACCCAGTATTTTTATATATATATACCTAACTACGTATTTGATCTGTCTGTCGACAGAGAAGGAGAGAGAGAGAGAGATAGAGAAAAAAAAGGGACGAACAAATAAAACAAAAAAATTAAAAATCACAAGATAAATATAGCATCGCTCGATCAAACGGAATAAAACGAGCATGTATTTTCAATGATTTAAAATAAATAAATAATAAATACAAAAATAATTTAAATAATTTTTTCTCTCTATATCTTTTTATTATTTTTCTTTGTCTATTCTTTCACATTTCCCATTTTCTATCGTCCCTCTTGCCGTTAACTATTCCCTGCAAATATTTTTTTTTTTTTTCAATTTTTTTTTTCGCCCATTTTCCATCTTCCCTCTTTCCCTCTTAATTTATAATGTAACACAAAACTCTCTGAGATATTTCTATTTGCGCTCGTAGAGGAGGGAAGCGCGTTGGAAAAAATATAAAAGGAAAAAAAAACAGAAGGAAAATAGAAAAAAAAGAAAAAGAAAAAATGTAAAGCACCCATATTTATTATCCGTAAGAGAAACATTTTAAAGTCTCGTTTATCGACGTCGCATCGTGCCCTTTCATGTCATACGTGATATTATTATTATTATTATTATTAATATTCTTATTAAAAAAAGAGAGAAAAAATAAGCTCATATACGTACGTTAGACGACGATAAAAAAAAAAGAGATAGAGGAGAAATGAAATTTTTCGTGATTTTTCCACGAGATCCGCCCCCTTACATTTTGTCCTTTATTCCCACCCCCATACCCAACCCTCGCCCCCCGTTGGCCATCTTGAGTCTTCGGTCGTCCCTTGTCTTCGTTCTCTTCCCACCCTCCCCCCCTACTCCCCCTTCAACCAAATGGAAATGGTCCATTTCTCGCAAAGAACTTTTTTTCGAAGTAGAGAGCACGCTTAGAACGTCCGCAACATTCTTCTTGCTCTTGACTGCATTCCATTTACTATACTTTACTATATAGTAAAAAAAGATGAGGAAAAGGAAAAGATGAAGAAGAGAGAGAGAGAGAGAGAGAGAGAGAGAGAGAGAGAGAGAGAGAGAGAGAGAGAGAGAGAGAGATTGAAAAAGAAAAAGAAAAGAAAAGAAAAAGTAAGAGAGACGACGACAGTAGGAGGAGCTATGATAATAGCTTCTACCGCGCACAATTTGTCGCTAATCTTTTTTCTTTTCTTTTTTTTTCTTTTCTTTTTGTTTTATCTTTTCTATTTTTCACTTTTAGATTATTTTTAATTTGTTATTTGTTTTTTTTTTTTTTTTGTATTTTATTATATTTTTTTTTCTTTTTTATCAGACAGAACGCCTCGCGCGCTATGCTAAACGAACGGTGAAAAAAGAAGAAAAAAAAATAGGAAGTAGGGTTGTTCAGGGAGTTTAAGGACTATGTTAAAGGAAAAAAAAAGAGGAAGAAGGAAATCACCAAACAAAAGAAATAACTTTTTTCTTTTCTTTTCTTTTTCTTCTTTTTATACCCTCTCTCTCTCTCTCTATTTTTCTCTCAATGTCTCTCTTCTTTTCAATGAAATGCTTTTCTTTTGATCCAATTTTCTTGACCTTTTAACCTCTTGGACCTTTTTAAGTTCGACGACCTGGCTTTCTGGTAAACAGGACTACGGGACTTTGTTATAATTGCGCTGAGATATCGACAAAACCAAGAAGGAATGAGACGTGAAGAAAAGAAAAGAAAAGAAAAGAAAAGAAAAGAAAGGAAAAGAAAAGAAAAATCCTTCCTTTGTCCGTGTCGAATTTAATCGTAAAAAAAAAAAAAAAAAAAAAAAACGTGACCGTTCAATGTAACATCGAAGACCGGACGTAACCTCTAAGCGGATCTAAATCTAAGCTCACGAGATAGACGAGGACTGAGATATAAGTAATACATATATAGATAAAATCTTTATACACGGTACATAACTGTTACTATATACATACATACATACAATACATACATACGTATATAAGCATGTACATTCGTACAACATGTATATGTATATATATATATATATATATATATATATATATATATATATGTATATATGTGTGTGTGTGTTTTATGTACATAGAAAGTCGAAGTGCCTTTTGATAAGTACTTACATACAAGCTACTAGCCATTAGATGTCTGTTAAGGGATGAACCATATATGACGTGTCACGGTCCCTCAAGGGCTTGAACACCCTTCATAGTAAACCTCACTCTATCTTTTTCTTTCTTTTTATCTCCTTCTCTTCCTTCTTCGTTAAAACTCGTTTAAGCGAGAAAAAGAAGCTGCCGGTCTTCTCCTTCGAACGATTCTCGATCCACTATTACCTTCTTTGACTATGTAAGTACACTCTCGGCTTCTTTTCTCCCTCCCTATCTACCTTCTTACCTTCCCCCTCTCTCTTTCTTTCTTTCTCTCTCTCTCTCTTTCTATTTATCTCACTCACTATTCCCTTTGTTTATTACTTTTTCTAAACAAAACTCTGGCTCGTTCCTTCTCTCTATTTATTTACATTTACTGTTATTTGGTATATCGTGATTTTAACCTTGAAGGAATTAAATTCGACGAACTCTAATGTTATTATTTCTAGAAAATTTAACTGAATGAAATTGAAACGAATAAATAGTATTGATATTGTATCATTGATTAATATCGATCTCTTGAAGATTTACATCGCGATAACCTTCGAGCGAAAAAAGAAAAGATTTAGCGAAAAAAACTTTTCGACATGGGAAACCAGCGATTCCTTCGATTCTCGATGGCTTTCGATGTTCGTATTCTTTGTTCAGGATCTCATTTCAGAATACGAGAGAGAGATAGAGAAAAAGAGAGAGAAAGAAATATGCGTTCGCTTTTCTCACTAAAGAAGAATTTATTATCGTCCAGTGATTTTTCACTAAAAGTAAGGAGGAGAGACAAGGGAAAGTCTTTTCTTTTCTTTCGCGAAGGACGAGAGGGGATGGCTAAGGGGTGAAAGTGAGGGTAAGGGAGATGATTGTAAGGAATGAGAGAAAGGTAGAGAGAGAGAGAGAGAGAGGAGTAGGTGTGTCTTCGATCTATCTTTTGAATGAAATATTATTGTATTCTTCTCTTTCTTTCTTTCTCTTTTTCTTTTTTTTTCTTCGTTTTTAATGGACGACGAAATAACAAAAAAAAAAAAAAGAAAAAAAAAGAGTTTTTTAGAGGCTCGTTCAGAGTAAAGAAAAGCTTAAAATAAGAAGTGTTGGCAGCATCTTATCTTCTAAAGTCGTGGAATGTTCTTCTCAGAGCCAAAGCGAAAAGATGTTACACATCTTTCCTTTGGTTGCTTCATTTTTTTTCTTCTTTTTAATTTTTTTATTTTTCCTCTTTTTTTCCTCGCAAGGGAAGAAAATTGTTTCTATCCTTTTTCCTCTCTCTCTCTCTTTCTTTCTCTCTTTCTGTCTCTCTTTTCTTTCCTTTTCTTTCCCTTTCTTTCTCTTTTTTCGTAATAAAACGTAATTAGAACGTTAGGAGGATAGGGGAGGCAACTACTTACTTACTTAGTTACTTACTTACGTGTTTACTTAAGTAAGTAGTTATTTACTTTCTTACTTAATTACTTAATTACTTACTTACTTAATTACTAGCGCGTGGAGATAATAATTCTTTTTCTTTTTTACGTTTCGATTATATTACGAACGAATCTGTGGCCCTTTTTTTCTTTAGGACTCTACACGTTTATTCTCTCTTTCTCTCTTTTTGATTTTTTTTCTAAGGGAAGGTAGACGGAAAAAGAGAGAGGAGAGATTAGGCGAGGGTAGGGGACGAGGAAGACGTTCGGAATCTAATCGAAGATGTTCCCTCTAATCTCTTTTGATTATGCTGGAAGTTGACGAAAGTAATTTTTCCTCGTTGTTCCACATAACGTAACAATTTTACGACGAGTAAAAAAAAAGAAAAAAAAAAAAAAGAGAAAAGAAGCCAAAGAAATAGAAGAAAAAAATCCCCACTTTTATAATCTCTCTTATAATTTTCATCATAATTTTACCAGAGAGAAAAAAGAGAACAAAGAAAAAAAAACCGAAGAAGAAGAAGAATAAAAAGGGGGAAAATAATTCCCATTTCTAATACCTATTCTAATCTCTCTTTTTCACTCCACTTTTTCTCTCTTATATTATATCCTTTGTCGTGTTTCCTTCCTTTCTTTCTTTCTTTCTTTTCTTTTCATTTTTTCTTTTCGTTTTATAAAAATATCATCGTCATCGAGTAGAAAGAGAAGAAGAATAAATGATATTAAAATCTTTCTAAAGAGAGAAAGAGAGAGAGAGAGAGAGAGAGAGAGAGAGAGAGAGAGAGAGAGAGAGAGAGAGAGAGAGAGAGATCTTGCTGATATCCACAAGGGTAAAATTTTATTTTCCATCTTTCAATATTTCTCTTATTCGAGATGAGAAAAAGGCAAGAAATCCTTATATACTATATTTCGTTTGTCTCTTATGCCTCCGTGCATTGAGAAAAGTGTACAAGAGTGTAAGAAGAAAATTTCTATTTCTCTCTATTTCTCTCTCTCTCTCTATCTATCTATCTATCTATCCAACCCTCTACCCTTTACTCTCTCTCTCTCTCTCTTTCTCTCTCTCTCTCTCTCTCCATTATCCTCGACGAAATATATCCTTTCGAGCTCTCTTGCTACGTTCTTATCGCTTACGGGGCTTAACGCGTAACCAAATTTCCGTAACAAAACGTACTTCCTCTTCATCTCCTCTCGGTCTTTCTCTCTCTCTCTCTCTCTCTCTCTCTCTCTCTCTTTCTTTCTTTCTTTCTTTCGTTCGGACAGATCTTTCAAAGAAAGAGAGAAATAGAGATAGTGGTAGAGAAAGTTTCTCCTCAATCTTCTTCAACAGTGCTCTGTAATGTAGAATGCGAGAAAGAGACGAAACTAACACCGATAGATAGAAAGGAGGGTTGACGGGAGGGATGATAGAGAGAGAGATAGAGAGGGGAGGGGGAGAAAGAAGAAGCTAAGGGAAAGAAAAAGAAGAAGAAGAAGAAGAAGAAAGAAATAAGAAGCTAAGCTTTTCAACGGACAGACACCCTTTCTTCTCTTCGTGGCGCTCACGACATGAATTTTAACACGCCCTTCTACTTTTACTACTACTTTCCTCCTATTATCTACTTTCTCTTTCTTTCCAACCCCCCTGACGCTCTATCCCTTGCTCTCTTTATCCCAGTTCGTCTCCTTCGTCAAATCTCTAATTCTTCTTTAATTCATTAAGATGTTATTACTAAAGAAAATTTACATTCGCAATATAATAAATATATTTATATTTTCGTCGTAGATATCTTTACGTTATCCCCTTTTTTCTCGAATAAATTTTACGTATCGAATCGATTTATATAATATATTCTATATAATATATTCTCTCTCTCTCTCTCTCCCTCTATTTCTCTCAACTTGATGGCTCGTAACTCGCAAACTGAAGCACGCGAGTGCACGTGACTCCTTGGTCATAACTTTAAACGAGTCACTTTGTTCTCTTCCATATCTCTCTCTCTCTTTTTGTCTTTCCTTTTCTCTTTCTCTCTCTTGAATGAGAGAGCAAGTTTCTTCGACTCCGTAGAAGGCGTACGTTTCACGTGCATCACACCAGCCCAACCAGTCCGGTATGTCCTCCGTAATTGCACACGAGCTTTCAGACTTGCGACTAAACTCCTGCTTTAACCCCCTACCCTTTTTCCCCTTCCACTTTCCCTCTCTCTCTCCGTCTATTTCCCCGTCCGCTTGTCTCCGGCGACGATCGTGCACCTGCCAAGCCAACCTTCTGGCATAAACTTTTGAATGAGATCCATTACAAACTGTTTCTCCCTCCCTTTCCTCTCTCTCTCTCTCTCTTCATCTCTCTTTTCTCACGTCTGCCATCAAAAATTATGGCCAACTTCCTTAGTTCTTTCTCACGAGATATATAATATTTTTCATATATATATATATATATTATTTTATTTAATATGTAGAAGAGGATAAATAATTTTTTTTTCGATGAAATAAAAAAGATTCGTACAAACGAAACGTACAGACGATCATTAGATATTAAAAATAATCTAATCGTTTTGGAAATGCATTATTCGACATGAATTCAATTTCCTTATTTTTGTTTCTTTTATTTATTCTTTGGATATCAATGTAAACATTGTAGTACGTTGGCTAACTTAAAAAGTTCTTAGGTACGAGCAAAATATAAGACGATCAATATTTACGATATGAATAACTCTCTCTCTCTCTCTATTTCTCTCTCTTTCTCTCTCTCTCTCTCTCTATATATATATATATAAACATACGTACATACATATATACGCATAGAAAGTCTCGAGGTAACCCAAACATTGAGAACCTGTCATTTCGAGAATAAGAGCAGTCAACAAAAGAGATACAAGATAAACGATAATATAACGCTGGAAATACGAGAGTAAAAGGAAGAGAAGTAGAAGGAGGAGGAGAAGGAGGATCACATTTATAACATTGATCCTCGCAAAGATCATTTTATTTCAATTTTATATCATAATATTATTTACGAGCTATATCTGTCTTCTATATAAATAATAACGAATTTAATAATAAAATAAAAAAGAATGACCTTTCAAATCTTTCAATTTAATATAAATATGAAAAAACAAAAAATATATATATATATATATATAAAGAGAATATAAAAGATTCATATACAATTTGATTGGCGTACAATCAATTCGATTGGTACGATCGATTCGATTTTGATCCCTCTTCTTATAAATCGCTCATACAAAATTGCTATAGATAAAAGTACGTGAAAGCAAGAACGTGAGAATCTGTCTGTCCTTGATATCTCGATCCTTATCGTAGTAACCGTTGCGCATCTTCTTCCGCACCAGGATCTATTTTCTTCCCTTTTTTCTCCCTCTTCCCTCTTCCTCCTTTAAATCTTAGTCCCTTTTCTACCACCTCCACTCATTCTCTATATCCGTTCAAACAATAAATCCTACCGAATCGAGCGATCCTACTACGTCTATTTTCTTTCTCAATCTATCTATCTATCTATCTATCTATCTATCTATCTATCTATCTAGCTATCTATCTAGCTATCTGTCTCTATCTCTCGTATTAAATCGAGTAAAACACGAATGGAAGAAGAATAATAGCGCCTATCTAAAGAACGTTTTGAAACGCTTGTTTCCGACAGAGACGGAAACATATGCAAATTTCGTGATCGGTTCGTAGACCGAGGATGAGGAAGGGGTGAATAGTAGTGGGTGGTGTGGGGATGATGGGGGAGGGCTTGGGAAGAGAAGTTTGGGATATGGAGAGTAGGAGAAAACCTTTATTCTTAGA